TGAGTCGTCAACCACATGCGACTATAATCAGCTGTTCTAAACTTCCTCATTGGAAGTCACGAAAAAGCGGCTCTGAAGAAGGCGATACTGCCGAAACGTCACCTAGCGTTGTATTGTATTGTGTTTTCTTTATGGAAGTAAATGTATGCTGTTTAAAAACCTCGCGATTGCTGAGCAAGAAAACGACACATTACATTTATACTAACTACTTGGATACTTTGATGCTCCGTCCTCACGAGTTTCGGATCCCAGCACATTTGCCATTCGTTCCTTTCCCTTGCAATCGTCGCCCATGGTGGTGGTTTTGTTCGAGCATGGTAACGCGTGCGAGTCTCATACCGTGATCTGTAAAATAACTGCAGCTGCGGGTACAGCTGATTAACTTTGTTTACTAACACGTCCGCCCATCGTGTAGGTGGTCGTACTAGGAGACGTTTGCATTCGCGTGGAGTCCGGGTTGCAGCTCTTTTCATCCATCTGTCGTCTATTCTTCTCATGACCGGCCCATCTATGTTTCGCTATCGGTGCATATTCTCCTGGATCTCGAAGATGTGACAGATTTCAAAGGTCAGAGCTTCGCATTCCGGTTACATATTGAGAGTGCCGGTTATATTTCGAAAAACATCGCTCAAGCGCTGTGTGAGTAGTTCGAAGCATTCTTGACGTAGGTGACCCACGTCTCTGCAGCATAACAGAGCGCTGGGTGAACCGCCGAGTCGAAAAGGTGAGCGCGGATTTTCGTGTCCTTCAGTTGGTCGGTGGCTCATTTCACAGGCCCGAATGGGCTCAAACTGCTCTCCTTTTTCTATCTAGTTCCTGCTTCTTGTTATTTTCCATGTTCATTGATCGCCTAAGGTATACGTACGAGGTGGTCTCTGCAATCAACCATACAATTCAATTTTTCGTCTTCACACCATGTGTTTTTCATGAACTGAGTCTTCTTCCGATTAATGCGTAGTCCAATCTTCTTTCCCGCATCGTTGAGTTCGTTGATCATCGTCTTTGCTTCGCTGGTACTTCTTGAGAACATGACGATGTCATCGGCGAAATGAAGGTTTGATAGGATTTTTCCATCAATACGTATGCCTTTCTCATTCCAATCGAGTGACTTCATTATCTACTGCAGTGCGGCACTGAACAGCTTTGGCGATGTTGTGTTACGCTGTCGAACTCCTTTCCTTATGGGTATGGTAAGAGGTCGATGGAAAAGCTGCATCTTCGTGATGCAGTTCCGATAACAGTCAGATGGAGTTCTTATGTAGGACGGGTCCACTCCTTGGTCGACGAGTGTTGATAGGATTGCATTCGTTTCGACACTGTCAAACGCTTTTTCATAGTCGACAAAGGTTAAGACTAGAGGCAGGTGGTATTCCCGGCAAACTTCGATGATCCTGGACACAGTTTGGATGTGGTCCATGCAGCAAAATCCTTTCCGAAATCCTGCTTGCTCTACTGGTTGCGCTCATCCAATGTCCTTGATATGCGCGACGGGATGATCTTCGTGAAGACCTTCTAGAGAACACTACACTACGTATATAGCATTTCCCATTTAAAATGTCCACGTCCGAATTCGTTAAAGACCTTAGTAGTTAAGTGTAGGAAGTAATTCGATAATTCGTATTCGGTTCCAAGTTTTGTGCAGTCATTCTTTTAATTCCGATGTCGCTTATTTCAGTTCGGAGCTTTTCATTCCACCTGTGGAATTATGAGCCGACAACAAAATGCAGTTGGGTATGTTTGAATTACAGTCATCACTGCTGTTTTTATTTTACTTATCATTCCTGATATTCACACATTTGTGACGACATACATTGATTTCAAAGCATCGATTGCGGAAGTGGACGAGGCGCACTAGTGTTAACGTCTTAGCCTTCCATCAGCCTATTTTAGTTGACAGGTTTTGCGTTAAACTTAGATCTACAGCTTATTCCACACAAGTGCTATGTTAGACGGTCTACGTGAAAACTATACTGTGCATTTAACAATTTGGAAAATTACCATAAAAGTTCGTTTGGTGACGGTGTGGAAATGTCGCTGGTGCAGAGAGTATGCACCACTAAAATTTGATGGTGAGGATGCTGGAACCATCTTTAGTCTATTTGAGCACCGAAGTTCAACACTTAGGGGCTTCAATTACTTACTTGGGTACTTGAATGTCCCGAGTTTACTGGTTGTGCGGGCATCAGCATAGTTTCCATTTGCAACTAGCCACCATGCAATTAGTTTTATACCAGGACGGTGGTGAATCCTGGTATTAGTTTACTCTTAGCTGGGCTTCCTCATAGAAACGTCGGATTCTTTTTCAGCTTGGGAGGCCTTGTCAGGGGATGAATTCCCCCTCTGTACATTGCAGCCCGATACTCAGAAACACCCAGCCACGATGAGCCGGTAAACCGTTAGGAGGTGGTAACGTATGGTAAATGGGAACATGTAGTCCTACAGTGATAGAGCAGTCAATCATCTATAGCTTTTAAGTTTCCAAACCTCAAATAGTTATCGGACAGTAGCATTGCTCATTGTGAGTTGTATCAAGTCCACAGCCGGCACTGAAAGCGTCATCCTATGTCGTAGCCAGACAAAACTAAGCGTCGCGAATGTATCAATTTCAAATCGAGACCGCAAATTACCTAGGCATCCTTCAAAAGTCGAACAAGATCCCTCTTTTTTTAGGTTGTTTGGTGTCACCTGTGCTGATGTAGAAATGGAATCTCGTAACTGCTTCTTCGATAATTATTCGATTTGTTTATTTGCACATAGTCTATTCTTCAATCGTAGTGCAGCATCCCGTCAACCATCTTCACTACTCTTCAGAATATCAGACGGCGAAGTCCACTTAAAATGCAGCACGGGAATCCTACTCGTCGTCATTATTCAGGGGTTGGTAAGGAATCTCTTACGACGGCACATAGGTTCACTATGCTGGATTTTTTCTTTTTATCGTGTTTAGGACCAAATATCATGATCTTAAAGTCTACGACGCTTTGTTTTCTGTCTCTATTCGTATTGATGAACAACTTTGGGATCTCATACAGGTGTACAGTGGTTCCTATCAGGTAGAAAACATAATAAAATAAATTTCCATCCAATCGCTTGTTCTGTTTTGCGTTGGCTTTATCTTACCAGTTACTGTCGACATTTATTAAGTAAATCATCACAGACAAAATCTGATGATTTTTGGACAAATTAATGCACACAATGGAAAGCTGGTCAATGTGAAATATATGTATGTTGGCACGGCTGGAATTGTTATTGGAGATCTCACATAACACAAGAATTATTCATTTGTGCTAAATTACTCCCATTACAAATTGTTCGACGTTTCTACTTCTCTGCACTTCACAAAGTCGTACATGTATGTAACATAGATAGAACCAATCGTTGAAGAGACTTTAGCTGTGAAATTGTATAGGTTTGCAGGAAAAGACCACGATACAAACAGATTTAATTCACTCTTGAAGCGACAAATTCATCTGGATCTGACCTGATTACTATTCCTTCTTGTTGTCATCGACGACCATAAAGAGTTTTTGGCAGAAAATGGTGAAGCAATCTGAAATATGGGTAATACAATAATGTAATAGTACTTACCTACTTGATACTTGAATGGCCCGTCTTCACTGGTTGTGCGGACGCCAACATAACTTTAATCGTTTCGGACTTTTCCTGGTTTAACCAATGTGGTTCCCTGGACTCCCGATGTCATCCTGCTTAAAGTCTGCCTGAGGTCGTCACCACTACAGGCAGTCGCCGTCCTTGTGGATCAGAGGGAGATTTGCCACCATGCGACTAGTTTGGCACCAGGACGGTGGTGGATCCTGGTATTGGTTTACTGTTAGCTAGACTTCCTGATGGAAACGTCGGATTCCTTCTCAGCTTGGTAGGCCCTGCCAAGGGATGGATCCCCCCGCTGTACATCGCAGCCCGACACCCACGAACACCACCGAGCCATGATGAGCCAGTAAACCATTGGCAGGAATGGAATAATAGTAATAACATAATTTTAGCTTATTATTTATTGCCTACTCTTTTTAAAGGCAGGGTATGTTGCGAGATATAGCTTCAATGATGCTGAGATATCTGTAGAACTCCGGACCGCAGGTGTCTCTAGTGGGGAACGGGCGTACTACTACCCTTTCCAGGGTCTAAAGCGTTCACCACCACACCATGCGGATCCTTCGTTTCTCCTGTCTCTCAGCTAGTTCAATCGATCAGAGTGCCATCAGCAATTACCCGTCAGCCGGATTCATCTGGGGAACCCCAATCGGCATTGAACCCAATTAAGCTGAGGCTTAGTTTTGGGCGCCCCGGATCAATCCCGCTGACGGGTGATTGCTGATGGCATTCTGAACGATAGAACTAGCTGAGAGACAGCCGGAACAAAATGCATGGTGTAGTGGTGTATGCGTTAGCCCCGCAATGGGTAACAGCGCACTCGTTCCCCACCGCAGACAGCTGCGGTCCAGAGTTTTGCAAATATCTCAGCATCATTGGAGTAATAACATAGTTAAGGGTTTATATAAACAGTGTATTATGGTTAATGATAACGTACTAGTTGCTGTGTTAATACAGCGCGGTTTGTTCCTCCACGCAATAAAAATCAGGTAGACGGGTACTCCTGTGGACATGATAAGCAAACCGATTGCTGTAAAAACTAAGTGTAAACTAAGGTAAAGCAGTACTAGTTATTGTTATTACAAAGCTCACCTGTATCTTTTGGAGCCCCAACAATGGGCACAATAACCAGAGCGCAACAACCCAAAAAGAAGATAACAGGAAAGATCAGGTTAACCTGAAAAAAGAACAAGATTATTTTATAGTATGTGTGAAAACATAGATTGGCAGACATTGACGAAACCAGACGGAACCAACTTCAGAACTACAAACACATTAGGTTTAGAACCGTGATTACCTTGATTGGTCTAGTGACATTAGGCATCGTTTTTCTAAGCCAAAACAGTGCAGCTGTAGCTGCTGCGATGGCGAGCCAGTAACTAATTTGAATATAATTAATCAAGGAGAATACATTGTCAGATAATCCCAAGTAGGCGAGGGATAGAAGACCCTAGGATATGTATCTACAATTCGTTTGGGTAACAAAAGATGTATACAGTGTACTAAAAATCAATATATTGAAATAATCAACTATCTTACAGTGAAGACCACAGCAGGGATAGGAGTCCTTGTAGTTTTATTGATCATCGTCAATATTTGAGGCATGTGTCCTTCACGAGCGCCAACAAAGAATAACCTGAACTTGGTTTGCTTTCGTGTATTGTGTAGAATCCATAACTCCTTGGGAAGTATATTGTGCATGAAAACCTCACCGTGAACTCGTGAATATGACGCCATTAGCGGAGCCTATCGTTGAACATGCAACAAAAACCGGCATAATGAAAGCAAAACTACCGTACATTTTTTCCGCAAACAACTTAAATGTGATGTTTTGTGTGGAAATGCTAAGCAAAACAGTCACAGGGAAACTCCTCACTCACCACAGCAACAGCTGGACTTGCGAGCATTTCGTCAGGGGTAATTACTGTGTAAAGTGCGATGTTCGTAAAAGTGTAGATGACGGTAACAGTAGTACACGATATGGCAATTGATAGAGGAAGGTTTCTGAATGTTAAAACCTCAAAGAAATGTTATAGAAGGGCAGTGTATGCATACCTTTTCGGATTTTGAAGTTCTTCAACAATGAAGTTCAGATAGTTCCAACCCTGATATGCAAATAAACCAGAATAGAAAGCAAGCGATGCAGTCTTGAAATCCCGGGCAGTGTTCTCGAAAATGTTTTCGAATGATTCATAATACTGGGGCTTGCCTGTAACCACGCTTCAAGTAAGTTCAAATAAACGTAATAATAAAATGTTCCTAAGGAAATACCAGTTAAGAGAAGAGCGGTTCCGGTTACGATTATCATTATGAGCGCAAATACTTTGGCAACTGTGAAGACGTCTTGAACAAAGGTGGCAAGTCGTACAGAGATGGAATTGATGGCAGTTAAAAGAACTGTAATTGGTTATAGTTGGTTACTATCGATACAGAAACGAAACTGCTGAGAGAAAGGGGAACCGAAGGACTCGCATGGTGTCGTCGTGAATGCTTTACCCTCGGAAAGGTTAATAGCGTTTTCGGTCTCAACCGCAGAAACCAATGTTCTGGAGTTTTGCAAATATCTCAGCATCGTTGTGGATGAAACTTACTCAAAAGAGAAGCAGCGAGCAGCTGAGTGCTGCCTGCAGGAGGTTCACAATCTGGATAAAATGGACGTAACATATAGATTGCAAATGTGAGGGCTACAATTGTTGCAGTACACGGCCTGGAAAGAAGTGGTACACAACAAACGATATGCCTATAAACATGACAAGAACTTCAAAGTACAATAGTACAGGACATTTCTCCATGAAAAATGGATGATGTAGCAGTGGGGACTGAAACCTCTAATTATTAACTATGGAATAAAAAATGTAAACAGGTGTGCCATACATGAATGAAAATAAAAATCGAATTAAGAGCTAAGTACAACTTTCGTAGCATTGGCTCATCTGTGATGAATATAGACCAACTCTTAATTGAAGGACAGAAGACACATACAGGCCAATCTGGTACACATGGAGATAAGCAGAGGGAGGGTGGGGAGTTACACGTCAGGAAAACTTTAGTTAGATCACCCGTCTCAAAACAAACAAAGAAACCAAACTAACCTTACAACTATGCTTTCTATCCACAATCGAACAAATGCCAAAAATGATCCAAAAGCTTCCATGATGTATGCATAATCTCCACCAGATTTATGAATTAATGTTCCTAGTTCAGCATAGCAATAAGCACCAATGCCAGCGAAGATTCCACACACAACCCAGATAATCAGTGAAAGCCCAACGGAACCCGCCTCTGGAAGATAAAGAGCCAGTTATTAAGCAGTAAGTTCTCAACTGAACTGACATGAAGTACTCACTCTCTTGTACACCTGTAGGACTAACGAATATCCCAGATCCTATAATACAACCAATGATTATCGAGACTCCATTAAAAAGCGTCAGAGACTTGGCTAAGCCTTTTCCGTCATCCTGAATAAACCATTTTATACGAATATAATCAAACTCTGACGTTAACTCTTACAATATGTCAATTATTCTCCTACTATTGTGATGAAAACATGCTTAAGACCGTAAAAACCAGACTTTACTAGTTATGCCATACTGGTGAACTCACTACGTACATCATTTCGCACGTTCCAAGTGAAAAACGCTCATAAATTTTCAGAAATTGGAAATTAATTAATTAATTTAATGAAATAAGTACGATTTCTTAAGCTTCTAAGTGAACTGAATCGCACCTACTAATCAATAACCGTCAATTCATTACTAACGAACTTCACAAGTACTTTACTGGAAGCATTTTACTAATAAGTACAGTAAAGTATCACAAAAAAGGTACACATACCATCAGAACACTTAAGACAATACTAAAGAAGTTCGACGATCGTTTTTACACAACCACTTTACAACTAAGTACAGGACCTGTTTCGAAACTAATCAATAGCATCGAAATCGTATCAGCTTACCTCGTCTTTTGAAAGATTCTCAGAACTACGCAGTGATTCGCTTTCTGGATTCGCCATCAACGTCTATCCCTACAAAAATAATCCGAGATACAATGATAGTGTAGAATACGTACCACACAACCGTTGTCGGCAAGGAAGCCATTCAAAGTGGCTTCGCGTATAGACGACACATTAGCGCTGTAGCAGCTTATTTATTATTTAGTAGTAAACGCTCTGACTGGAATTACTTCAACGGATATATGATTGCATTTTGGATATTATCATAAAAACATCGCAGTTATCAATGATAACTAAGTTTCAGAGTCAGATAAATCAATTCCAAATGTGCCTATATTGGTAGGTAGGTCTCATGTAGCTCAGTGGTCGGAGGCGCCCTGCAAAATACGGAATCGATAACCGCGCCCGTGGCCCACCAAGCCTTCCATCCTCCCGGGGTCGGTAAATTGGAACAGGAATTGTCTGGGAGGATAGCAGCACTGGCTCGATACATTGGTAGGCCACCGCGGGTCATTATAAAGGCCAGATATGCATTCAATCACCTCCAACGATGCTTAATGAAGTAGAATGGATAGCGCATCCCTCAGGGATTGATCAAGGCCTAGAGCTTTATCTTTTTTATTCCTTATGCTGGCAAAAATCAATGTGTCTATTGATTTTTAAGCGTGAAATTCACAGAATTTGCTAGTTTATTTCACTACTATTTTTCTTCAACTAGTCGGCGAGTAACGTATTTACGAAATGAATCTATGGTTTCTAAAAGAAAAGACGAATAGTTAAGTGATTTGAATGTTCTAAACTCACTGAGTTATTCAATCGTTTGAAACTATAACACTATAGAACACAGAGTTATGAAAGTCTAAATACTATTAAGCAGGAAACAGCTGTAGACGAATCGAAAATCGTTCATGCGAGAAATGATAGAAAAAAGATAGCAGTGAGGACGTGAACTGAATAACAGCAGTAAGCACTTGCACATTTCTTTTGCTCTGTAATTACTGTTCAGTAGGTTCTATGGGGATATTTTTGCTAGATACGGCAGTTGAAATGCTACGAATTACCTAATACCCAGCGAAACAGCAGAGATGATGGCATTTCGGCGTCGGAGGAGAGGGATTATGTTGTGTGCCGAACTTCTAATACAACCATCAACTACTCTATGAAGTGCACAGATTCGTTAGAAAATCTTATCGCGTCCCTTCTTAGAAAACCATATGGGAAAGCATTAAGATACCGGAAGTAATTTTCTACGCTAGAGAACGTAGTGAAATTCATACTAAGATGGCAGTTTGATCGATTTCGTAGCGACTTTTGGGCACAATTCTATCCACTCTATTCTATTTAAAAAGAAAATATCCATTTATAGATTGACGAAAAGTGGTGTCGGAATTTCTGAACTATGCTGGCTGCAAGGAGCACAGACTTTGTGGAAGTTTTGTTTTCTGGTTCGGTAATGGTAATAAGGTCTTTTATGGAAAAGATCAATGTCAATAGGTTTATTTTACGGGCGAGAGAGAGCTCGTTATCAGGACCATATGCAAATAATTGAACACTAAAGCAAAACAGTCAACTAGTTTCATTAACTGTCTGTCATTCATTTCATCGATTCGTCCAAAACCTCGTTGTGTAGTCGGCTTATTGTGTATTACCCACAGGCATCCGCGCGGTGGACAGAGGTGCCTTGCAATAGATGCACGTTCACTGGTTCGACCACGTGACTGAGGAAACCAACATCTCCAACCTTCTCGATTGCGCAAATCGGTAACAGATTACTCTGGAAGGATAAAAAACACAAATCTGGTGGCCTCGGAAAGTATTGCACGCCAAAGATACGCTTATTGCTTACCTCTAAAATTTAATTAATGGGGTTGAATGCGTGGTACATCTCTAGAGGTTTAATAATGGCCGAATGTCTTATTCATTATCTATTTTTTTGTCTATACCATTTACAATAGTGGGCGCGTATAGCTCAATGGTTAGAGACGACCTGCAATGCACACGTGGTATTTGGTTCGAACTCAGGCCCTAGCCCCACTAAGCTACCCATCCCTTCGGGATGGGGCGTTTGCTTAGCCTTAGGCATGTGATCAAACCAGTGGCCACGTATGCATTACTGGATACCACTATAACCAGTGAATAAAAATCCAAAAAAGTAAAAAATGAATAAAATATGGAATAGAAAAGGACAAGGAACAAAATCGTCTGGTGAGTAATAGCACGGGGTATATGGATATTACTACGTGTATTTGTAGGAGTTCCACAACAGCCGTGCCACAATTGCTCTCTGTGAAAGTGACACTGACCGAATCGAGATGAAAAAAAATGGATGGATGACGTTTAACGAAACGATGTGGATTAAATGAGTAACTTCAGTTCATAGCAAAACCATGAGACAAGTTTGCATTCGAATTCCAATGAACCCTACATTTAGTACCATTCCTTACTTAGAGTCGAATTGCTGAAGGATTCTTCTCATTCTTAACTCTTTTATTTACTGCCTTTTTCTTCTTAATGGCAGGTTATGTTTTCGAATTATAACTCGTATGAAATGCTGAGATACTTGCAAAACTCCGGACCA